CTTTTCCCATCTCCACCACCACCAGACATGCACATCTCCCATGTACAGCTGAAATCTGATTGCTTTTGAAAGTCTTTTCCAAGCTTAGTGGGTCTTGGGATGCTGAATTTTTGCTGCTTACTTGAACAGCAAGCCACAAGCATTTACTGAGCAAAAACAGTCACAGAAATATGAATTTTCATATTGGGGATGTTAAATTTAGATTAACTAATCAAATAGTTAATGGGATTTCCATCGACTACTTGATTAGTCTATAAGGGAACCTCTGCTTCTGAACTACCGGAGCTCTTGTACATTTCAAAAGCAGAATTGCAGAAGAAGCGGTACAAGCAGAGACTGCTTCAGTCCCTGCTTGTGCATTTTCTGCTGTGCCTCTAACTCCCCTACACCCTGCGGAGACAGTGCTTGGGGGAACTGGCTTTTAAGCCAGCTCCCACTCCCCCCTCCTTTGCTGCCTCTCTCGGATAGAGGCAGCTGGGGGATGAAGGGAGAGTGACTAATCGCATCACTAGTCGACTATAAAGAGAGTAGCATCTCCCAATATATTAATTACCCTCTACTCCTGCCCCAGAGAAACTGTTGTCCTTAAATAATCTAGAAACAAACGCTACTTCGAAATGCATTTTGTGTCTAGACGCATTATTTCGAAATAACGCTGTAGTGTAGACATACCCATAATGATATGAAACTAGCTACATTAACAGCTCTATGGCTCATTTCTGCTAGAGATGTAAAGGGTTAACCGTTTAACCAATTACTCAGTAAGTGATTAACCAGCCACTCCGGCCTGTCCGTGAGAAAGGATCCCAGCTAAATTAAAATTAACATTAACATTAATCAGTTAGCTTTTTAAATGGGATTTCACATCCTTAATCTTCATGAGTCATTTATTGGGACTGTTACATAGAGCCTGTCCTAGTTTAATCAAGATACCAAAACTCTGAAATGCCTAGTAAGACTGAAACATTACTTCGTGAACCAGCTTATGAGCCAAGGCACACATGAGCAGTCATCTATTATATAAAGCTCTCCCTTCAATAACTGAAAAAGCTTGAATTCAATTTTACCATCAACTCTGAAAAGAAATCAGAGGATAGGTACAAGCCAAAATGGCAGGGCAAAGTACTGGGGACCCAGTTTCCCCCCAAAAAATCTCAAGTATCGATACTAATGAAGGTCTATCCGTGAATCATTTTATTAAATGTCCCTGGATTAATTGTGAGAATGTTCTTGTTGCTTTAATCCAGAAATTCTGGATTAAGATTAGGTTCAACAACCTGATGTTGTGTTTGTTGTTCTTTGGAAGACACATTAAATAAAAAGGAAAAACCACTGCATATTTTGCCAAAATGAGCAGTTTTAGGGGAAGAACAATCAATGATGCTTTCCTTTGCATGACCTTTTTTCTTCCTTGCCTAAGGGGAAACAACAAAATGAGCCAGTGAAGGATGGTTAAGTAGTGCAATTTTATACACTAGTCCTTGAAAACAATGGATAGCACCCAAGCAGTCCATAATTATTGAGTTGTATTTGAAAATGTAGACATCTCTTGCCTATCAGGCTTGGAGACAGACTTGTTGGAAACTGACTGGTGAAAAGAGAGAGGAAAGTAATGATAGACTTGTTACATCCCCTTTCACTCTCTGAATTCCAGAATACCTGATAACTAGTGTATTTTCATCACAGTTGGTAAGGGATGTGTAGTAGTCAAGTGCAGAACAGGTTTAAAAAAAATAAACACACACATCCAAAATGAATCCCACTCCCCACATTCATAGAAACTGTTTAGAGCCCTTTATAGGCAATTCCTGAATTGACAGTCTTGCAAAGGTAAAATACATCAGCTAGTATTCTACAGACATGTCAACGAGCCAACTAAGCCAAGCCACAAAATGCTTCACAACTGTAAAATAGGCCTTTTTTTGGTAGGGGGACAACGAGCCTCAGCAAATCCTGGACTGAATCATGTAAAAAGAGTAGCTGACAACACCATTGCATTGTTTTATGAACTGCCCTGGAACAGTCATTCCGTGTCTTTCCTGCAACATGACTTTCATCCATCTATATTATATATCTATATATTCTAGAATGCTCTGGCTGAATAGTGAAAAAGAAAGCTGTGCAGTAAAAAAAATAAATCATTTTAATGCCACTCTTATTAAAAAAAAATACACTCATTTAGAGAAAGAACTATCCTCAAGAGAGGAAAAATATGTCTTGCTTCCACAAAGGAATCTTTTCAGCAGGCATACTGTATGATTTTCATATTCCCAGACTATTTTCGCATAGAGGAACGGATACCCACACATGGTTCTCCCTGACCGCTGCCTAGCTGCTGGGCTGGGAGTGGGGGGAGCGCTGGGGGAGGCCCCCCACTGCAAGGTGTAAATAAGCACAACAGGTTGCCAAACTTTCCTGGCATGAGGGGCCCAGTGCCAGCCCTGCCCAACACTTCACCCCTGCTTCGTAAGTGTTGACCTACGGGAGCCCTGAGGCCCCAATGCCAGCCCTGCCCCAGGCGGGGACAGCTGCTACCTGTCCCGCACTGCTGTTCTGACATTACTAGCTAGTGCAGCTGGGAGCATGCCTGAGGGAGGCAGCTGATTTCCAGGACAGGAGGAAGGCAAAGCGGCAAGTTTTTCTTAAGAGGGAAAGACCAGCTCTATGTGGCTGGAGCTGCAAGAGATGTGGGGCAATGCCCTGACATGGGCCTATTCCTGGGCAGTAGGACCCACCCCCTGCTACAGGGACTTGAGGGGGTAGAACTATACCCCTCTGTGATGTGACAGAAGCTGCTGTTGCCAGGTGCCATCACTCACGAATCTGCAGCAGCAGCAGCACACACTACAAATCCATTCCCTTCCTCATACCCCCTCTCGAAACCATCGCACTGCCCTCCTACTGCTCCTGACGCCAGTCCCTGCTCTCTGCTTCTTCTCCTTAAGACCTCACCCCCACCTTTCCCCTCCTCTCCGTTCATCCATGATCCCTCCCCTCCAAAGGGCTTGCAGAGCAGATGTGGAAGACGACAAAATTCAGCTAGCAGATCAGACGACGGGCTGAGCTTGGTAAATGCAGATCCACATTTTTTTATCCAGGCAGGGTTCTACGGATTTGAAAATCTGAT